GGGGAACTTTATGAATGACACCTATGTTCTACAGCTAGTGATTATTGAACTAAAAGTTGTATTTTGCAGTGTGATATTTTATGTTTTAAAAAAGCATTTAAAATAATTTTATTGTGAGAAGAATTTTCAGTTTTGTGGTAAGTCATTTAAATGAGCTTTTTCATTTATTTACTAAATATTAGGTATCAGCTCTGGGCCAGGCAGGAGTTAGGTATTTTTGAAACATCAGTGAACAAGCTCCTGTGGTTGTGTAAGCCAACAAGCCATGCAGCACAGAGGTAACCATCCCTGGTTAGGTGTAAGGGCTATACAGGGAAGGAAAAGCGGGAGAGGAGGGGCCGGCTGGGGGTGCCTGTGGCCAGGCCTGCGGTGAGAGACATGGAGGTTCCTGTGACTGAGCCGGTGGCGGTATGGAAGCTGTGTGGACAGGCCCTGCTTTTGTTTTCAGTCCTCACCCGAGAGTACGTTTTTATGGGTTTTAGGAAAGGGACTCCGAGAGAGAAAGGTCGCTTGGCTGCCTCCTTCTGTGCCCTGACCAGGAATCCGACCCAGCCCTTTGGTGCCGGGACGATGCCCCAGCCAGCGGGGGGCAGCCCTCTGTCGTAGCTGAACCCCGGCGGGGGCCAGGCCCTCTGGTGTAGGCTTTCCCCCCACAGTCCTGCGGGGACTCTGGTTTCCTTTGAACGTGGAAGCTCTGGGCGGATTGGAGCAGATTGGTAGATGTTAACCCGCTCATCCTGATGGCCGCGTGGAGCATTTACGTGGGGGAGTGGAGGGGATGGGGCCCCGTGGGGGGCGGTTGCAGAGGTCAGCGAGAGAGATGCTGGCGGTAGCTGTGCCACGTGGTAGCCGAGGTGGTGGCCAACGTGGGCAAATTTAACACCTTGGAAAATACAGAAAACGTGTAATGGTTTAACTCCATTTATTCTGGGTTTTTGTTGTTGTTGTTGTTGTTAGTTTTCTGCTGTCACCCTAAGATGATGTGTCTTATTTTCCCTGGCTGCTTTTAAGGTTTTCTCGTTGACTTTGTTTTTTGGGTTCTGTCTGATGTTTGAGATCATCTTTTTTATCATGCTGAGGCTTGTAGAGACTTGTTCGCTAGGGACTCATGCCTGATTAGCTTTGGGAAATATTCTTCAGACATGATGGCTGCTCCATTTTCTCTGCTTCTGTCACCAGTTAGATGGACTGGTGTATTACATTAGACTCTTTCACCATCTTTTACACATTTTTTGTATTTTTCTCTACTTTCTCTGGGATGTCCTGTGCTTCTATATGTATGTTTTCGGCTCACCAATTCTCACTTTTGCTCAAATTAAATTACTGTATTCTTTTTAAAATATATATTTTATTAATTTTTTTACAGAGAGAAAAGGAGAAGGATAGAGAGTTAGAAACATTGATGAGAAAGAAACATCGATTCAGCTGCCTTCTGCTCATGTTTGCCAGGGACTCATGTCTTAGTAGCTTTGGAAAATTCGTTACCATTATCCTTCAGATACATCACTTGGTTGATGTATCCACTGGGGATGTGCCTGCAACCATGGTACATGCCCTTGACTGGAATCCACTCTATCCACTGAGCCAAACCAGTCAGGGCTAAAGTACTGTATTCTTAATCTCATTGATGACGCTTCCAGGTCTGGAGTTTTTATTGGACTCTTAAGAATCCTAGGACTTTGCTGAAATTCTCCATCTCTCGAGGTTTTTTTTTTTTCCCCTTGGACATATCAGTCACAGTTATTTTAAAGTCTCTCAGATAACTCCAACATGTGAATGGCCAGTGTGTCTTTTTCTAGTTTTTATTTCTCATGTTGTCCATTTACTCACTTTTTTAAAAACTCAAATTTGTCATCTTAACCCTTTAAAGTATATAATTCTGCGGTTTTTGGTATAGTCATAGTTCTGTGCACCGGTCATCCCTACCCAAAATTCTGATATTTCCATCATCCCAGACTGGAGTTGGCTGTCAATGGCTGCTGGTGCCCCAGCAACAAGTCTGCAGCCTGTGCTTTGTCTCTGGCTTTACCCTTCTGGACCTTCCATGTAAATGGGGTTGTACAGTGTGTGGTCTTTTGAGTTTGGCCTCGTTCACTGCTCCTGGTGTTGTCCAGGTTTGTGTTGTAATATGTGTCTGTCCTCCATTGCGGTGTGGCTGATGACTATCCGTGGTATGGATATAGACAGCATCTTTTGTTGTCCATCATCAGTATCTTTTCCCCTCTACTTATTTTGGCTCTTATGAATGATAGAGGCCCGGTGCATGAAATTCGTTGGGGGCGATCAAGCTTGCAGTTGGAGTGATGGTCAGTCTGATCTTGTGTGTTGGAGTGATGGTCAGTCTGCATATTACTCTTTTATTAGATAGGATAGAGGCCTGGTGCATGGGTAGGGGCAGCTGGTTTGCCCTGAAGGGTGTCCTGGATCAGGGTGGGGCTTCCCTTGGGGTGTGGGGTGGCCTGGGCGAGGGGCCTGGGGTGATTTGCAGGTCAGCCACGCCCCCCGGCGACCCAAGTGGAGGCCCTGGTGTCTGGATTTATTTATCTTCTACAATTGAAACTTTGTAGCCTTAAGCAGAGGCCAAAGCAGGCTAGGGGGGCAACTCAAGCCTTCTGCTCTCTCCAGCTGCATGGCTGCTGCCATTTCTGTTTGGATTTATTTATCTTATATAATTGAAACTTTGTAGCCGTGAGTGGAGGCCTGGGCCAGCCAGGGTATGCGGAAAGCTTGGCTTCCTCCATTGCCAGGGAAACCCAAGCCTCCCGCTCGCTCCATGGCTGTAGCCATCTTGTTAGGTTAATCTGTATACTTGCTCCTGATTGGCTGGTGGGCATGGCTTGGGGTGTAGCGGAGTGATGGTTGACTCGCATATTACTCTCTTGTTAGGTAGGAGACTGACATTGTGTACAAGTTGCATGTGAGTGTGTCTCTTCAGTTCTCTTGGGTCTATACCTGGATCATACGGTAGCTCTGTGACTTCCTGAGGAATTGCCAGTGGCTTACACAGCGCTGCCCCACGCACAGTCCCATAACGTTGGCAAGAGCTTCGCTTCCTCCACAGCTGTTGCTTCCTGTAGGTTTTTAAATTGTTAGAAGCGTCCCAATTGGGCTGACCACTTGTGCCTTGTAGTTCCTAACTGAATGCCAGGCATTACCAATGAGCAGTTGTAAGGATTCTGTTTGCTATTTTCCTCCGAGAGTTAAGTTTTACTTTGGTAGGCGAAGCACTAGAGGATCCCCGGAGCCTTTTGAGGGTTCACTATAAAATGTTTTAGGGTTGAGCTATTTCAGTTTTGACCTTCATCTGTGGGAAGGCTGTTTGGACATCTCAGGAGAGCATGCGTTGTTCATGGAGGCCCTTCTACCTGGGTGGGACCTAAACCGCAGTCTCTGCCCATCATCCTGGGCAGAAGCGCACGCACCCCCCCCCCCCCCCCCCCCCGCTCTTCAGTCTCTAGCTCTCTGCTCCCCAGACTGTCTTCCACTCAGTGCTGGGAGCCTGCCACTTGCCACGGGGCCTCCATACTTTCCCATCACACAGCCGGGCCAGGAGAACCGGGATCCTAAGCTGAACTGGGCTTCCCCTTTCCAGTCCGTCTAGATAACCCTATTGGCAGAGGGTTAGATGGAAGCCCTCTTACTATGACGGGAACTATTAATACAATACTTATGCTTTATGAATCGAATCACAGGAAAGTGAAAATTGATACCTATTGAGAGGGAGAACATGAATTTTCAATAGGAAATTCAGACATGACAATGGGAGGAAGGATTTTTATTCTCAAGCGAGGGTCCAGGTCAGCCATGTTTGAAGGCTGATAAAGGATGCTTATAAATGAAGAGTATGTGACACTGAGTTGATATTTGGTAACCTTTTTGAAAATTGAGCAAGATCAGTAGGTGCTGAGGCATCTAAGGTGAGCATTGAGAGGAAAGACTGACGGAACTGCCTCCTGTGTGGGCTGGGTCGGGAAGGGCCGGGCGGTGAGTGGTGAGCGCTGGGAGCAGCGCTGGCCGTTTGGCACATAAGTGAGTGGCCGTCACTGAGGTCGGAGGGCTGAGTGCCCATGCGGTGGCCGAACCCAGCTCTCTGGGGGGCTGTGTGCTCGGGGTCCGGCTGAGGGGAACTGGAGGCAACGGGGTGGCTGGATAGGAAGAGACGAAGGGCACAGAGAAGTAGAGAAGGAAGGCTGCCACCGACCTGGACAAACCCGCCCTGGCCCCTGCTCAGAGGGGCTGCAGAGACTGACCATTTGCTCCCTCCCCATCACAGCGCCCCGAGAAGGCGGCAGGTGGTCTGTCTCCTTCGCCCTTGGCGCACTCTCAAGGTTAGGCCATTCCTCCCATTCCTCCTGCCATTAGGCCGGCTGCCAGAGGCTCCTTCGGAGGCAGCTGTCTCCCCCGGAGGCGGAGGCCGGCAGCACTGCTCCGATCGGGAGGGAGGGGGCGCAGCGGCGGGCTGAGGGCTGATCACAGGCTGGGCGTAAAGCTCCCCAACCTCTCCCCTCCAGCACAGGGGTGTATCACATTTTGGGTCTCTGGTTCTTTAATAACTTCTTGTTACTGTGTTTTCTTTCCAGGTGAAATTCATCATTCATAGTGAACACATCTAAATATATTTATAATGAAAGGAGACTTAATCTTTAAAACAATTTAAATAACAACAATGGACACATTGGAGATCCTTACACATAATAAATGGAAATGGTTTTGGGATAGAATATTAGAATTTTTATTTTCACCCCTGGGATTTTATAAACTAAAATATACTGTTATTGTGTTCCCGTGGTCTGAGGTGGACAGGTGCTGTGTTCACGCTAACGATGGTGTGAAGTGTTGCGCGTATGTTAAATATGTTAATAAGCCCATGACAAAACGCTCTGAAATAAGTGGAAAGGCACTGTTTTGCCCCAGTTAGTAACACAGGCCACTGCGGTCCCACGTGCCCTCTCCTGTGTCACGTCTAACAGCTCCTCCTGTTTCCTAAACTGTCTCCGCAGCCGCCCACGCAGAACATGCCTCTGGGCCCCGGAGGGATGAACCCGGGCGGCGCCCCGCCCCCTCCGCGCGCGCACAACATGCCTTCAGATGGGATGGTCGGCGGGGGGCCCCCTGCGCCCCACATGCAGAACCAGATGAACGGCCAGATGCCGGGTAAGGGTTTCTCCTCCAAGACATTAACACCAGAGTTGCTTAGCAACCGGAACGACATGGGGGCTCCAGGGACCCTAGATTGTTGATGACAAAACTGCTCCGAATGCCCCCGAGTGCAGGCGCTCGGAGTTTGTTAGCTGCCGAGCTACGTGACCTGTATTCAGTGTTCACCGGGCCGCCTGGGGCTCCGGCTGGCACGCAGGCGCCTCTGATGCACAGAGCTGCTAAATTTAGGCCTGGCCCGGGCAGGGGGCTGGCTGGAGGAGCTTCTGGAAGAAAGAGGCATTGTGCGTGGCTGAGGCATGGAGGTCTGTGTAGGAAAAGGCGTCCAAACGTTCGCCTGCGTTTTGTGTTAGAAACGTGCTGGTCTCAGAACCAGTGACCCTGGGCACACGGGGAAGAACAAAGCCGGATGCAGGCCGAGCAGCAGCGCCTCCCTGTGCTGGGGGAGCGGGCTCAGGTGTGCGTGTGATAACATCTCACACACACACACACACACACACACACCCACCCTCACACACACATACACACACACACGGACGTTGATATTAAAGCCAGGTTAAAAGCTGAGCAAGAATGTCAGTTTTCTTACGCCGTGAGCCATCCTTTGCTATTTACTCATGGTACGTTCAGAGGCTCTTAGTATTTCCGGCCACTGGTGCTTATTTAGTTCCCTGTTGCTGGTTTGAATTTTACATGAGTGGTATCTTTAAACTATTTTGTTTTATAACAGTCACAATCCATGACCATAATTTTTGGTGGGGTATTTTTTTCTACAGTAAATACGAGAATATTTCTACTTTCTAATGACAAAGGTTATTTTCATTAACAAAGGAAAGTGTCATACAAATGTCAGTAATGAAAGTAAATTAAAGTAACAGAATACTTTACTTTTAAAATGAATAATTAGCCTCCTTAGGACAGCTGGTGTGTTGGTGGGCAGCTTTGGTGACCAGGGTGAGGGGCAGGCAAGGAATGAGAAGGGCAGCGAGCGGCAGAGGCCGGCAGCCTCGTCCACAGAGCCCGATGGGGCTGGGGCAGGGGGCCCCCGGGCTGCTTCTGTGTCCGCCACAGCCAGGCCCCCGCAGTGCCAGGGAGGAGGAGGAAGGCAGGAGTGCTCCCCAGGGGGTCGGCAGGAGGAATATTTGTGCTGATCCACACTTAGTTCATCAGGACCCAGTGTGTAAGACGGAGAGGTGGCAAGTTAGAAGTGTTGTGATTTATTTTATTTTTAATTCAGGATACCTTTAATTAGGATTTGACTTAACTTTTCCGTATAACATTCAAGCCTTATTTCTGAAGGAGCAGTTGGGTGGCAGTGTGATTGCCGTTAGCATGTGCTCTGGTTTGTGTGTGAGGCACCTGGAGCAGTGACAGTCTCTGTAAGCCAGAGGAGTCAGCTGGTTGTGACCCGGCTGGCCAGAACGCTGCAGATCTTTCAAACAGCGACTGACAGAGATCTGTGGTCAGTGTGGGAGAAGTTACAAGTCCCATTACCTGTATTTCTTTATTTAATAAGTTCCCAACTCTTCTGTTCACACAAATTCATATCTAGGCTTTTACTATCATATTTTAGTTTCATTTTCAATATTTTATCTAAGTTGCAGAACTATTTATATGCTGCTTGTTCTTAGTCAAATAACCTTTCAGTCTCAGGTTTCTTTGTTAAAATTTAACTGATTTTTAAAAAAAGAATAGGTAGTCCAGGCCTCTGGTACCTGGATCAGAAGGTACGAGAGGTAGCCTCTGCCCCACCAGACGCTCGGTGATGGGTCATGGGCGTCTGGTGTCCTTCAGCAGGTGCTCTCTGTGTGAACCTCTCATTCTTGTTTCAGACATTAGGCAGTTTACATGTCACTTGTTCCCCTCCTAAAGGCGTGTCGTAGCGGTCGCGAGAACATGCAGACCTCTTTTAGACAGCACTCAGTACATAGCGGTGCTCCTTCTTTTTGGTGAGCCACTGCATTCCTTCTTTAAGGATGCCTCCAATATGTGAGCCGTTCCCTTCTGGTAGAAATACAGGTTATTCTTTCAGTATTAAAAATTATACTGCTGCGAATATGTAAAATATAATAAAATAAGTAAACATAAAATTTTGTGTGTGTACACACATGCACACAAAAGAGCCTGTTTATTTATAAGATAAACTAGAGGCCCAGTGCATGTAATTTGTGCACAGGTAGGGTCCCTAGTGGCTGCCAGCTGCTGGCGGGGGCCTCCCTTTCCGCGCCGCCCCCTGCTGGTCAGCACATGTCATAGTGAGCAATCAAAGTCCCGGTTGGTTGAACTCCCGAGGAGACACTTTGCATATTAGGCATATTAGACACTTTGCCTAAAATATATATATATATATATATATATATATATATATATATATATTTATATATTTTCCTAGAACTGAAATTGCTGAGTTAAAGTTTACATGCATTTTTATGTATATATTCCCTGAACAATGCATGAAGGAACTTTATAATAGTTGGGTCAAAACTTATCTTTGCCAGTCTGAAAGATGGAAGATGGGTTTCATAATTTTAACTTGCCTTTTTATATTATAAGCAAAGCAAACAGTCTGCTATGTTTATGGCCTCCGGTTGCTTTTGTGTGAGATGGTCATTCATGCCCTTGGCCCTTTCATTTACTGCTGGTGGTGTGTTACTAGTTTGGTCTGTGATAGGACTTATTAGAACATTTTCCCAGTTTATATTTGTATTATTTAATTTTGGTTTGTATTAGTCTTGTTCAAATTTTTTATTTTCATATAGTCTAATTTATCAATCTGCATGACTGCATTTCCTGGCAAACTTAAGAAGGCCTTTCCATTTAATTATTTTAAAAAATTTCCTTTCTAAAATTTTCTTTTATGGTTTCTTTTCCTCTCTTCTTTTTTAATGTTGAATTTTTTAGTCATCTGGAATTAGTCTTCATGGAAGTAATGTGGTCGGGCTCAACTTGGTTTTTCCAGGCAGCTACTCGATTGTCACAACATCATTTACTGAACTGTTTTTCTTTTGTCCACCGGTACTTAGTATCACCGTTATAATTATTTACTGAATTAGCATTTGGGACCCTTTTTAGACTCTGCTCTGAGTTTATTGATCTTTTAGTTTATTGATCTTTTAATTTATTGATCTTTTAGGTTAATGCTACAAATATTTTAAAAAAATGAAATTTAACTTTAAAAAAAAATATTTTTATTGGTTTCAGAGAGGAAGGGAGAGGGAGATAGAAACATCGATGATGAAATAGAATCATTGATCGGCTGCTTCCTGCACACCCCCTACTGGGGATCAAGCCCACAGCCCAGGCATATGCCCTTGACTAGAATCAAAGCTGGGACCCACCGACACTATATCCATTGAGCCAAACCTGCTAGGGCGAATGCTACACACTTAATTCCACTGGCTTTTTTTTTTTTTTTTTTTTTTTTCCTCATAAAATTAGTCCTCTCTGGTTTCTCTTTTTCAGGATGTTTTCGGCTTTTCAAAAGAATTAGTTTCTTAGTCTGTAAAATGGGAATAACAACATTCACTTCACAGTATCTGCTCTCATGTAAAGCATTTTCCTAGTTTACTATTGATTAAATATTGAAGTTACTGTTTGGTATTCTTACTATAGTAATGCACCCCTCCCCTCAAAAAAAATGCTAATGTTCTTCATGCAAAGCCTCTGTTTAACTTTCGCATTTTGGTTTTGACCACTTTCTTAAAGGGCCCAACCATATGCCTATGCAGGGGCCGGGGCCCAGCCAGCTCAACCTGACCAACAGCTCCATGAGCATGCCCGCCAGCAGCCATGGGTCCATGGGCGGCTACAGCCACGCGGTGCCGTCCTCCCAGAGCGTGCCGGTGCAGAGCCAGATGACCATGAGCCAGGGCCAGCCCATGGGGAACTACGGCCCCCGGCCGAACATGAGCATGCAGCCGAACCCAGGTAACGAGCTGTGTGTGTGAGCGGCAGCAGACTCGGAGGAGAAAGTAGCGTTTTCAGGCTGTTGGCTGGTGTAGAACAATGTAGGTCGGATGTGAGCAGCAATGAAAAGGAAGGTTGAGTTTGAAATTAGCTTAAAATACGTTTATTTCTTACATTTAGAAATTAAATTGCTTAATCTAATTTTTTATGTAAGCTTACTTATTTTTATGTCTTTGATAGTTTATTTGAGATTCTGTGTTTTTGGATTTTTTTGTAAGAAAAGTTAATCAATGAATAATTTGAATGCTAATCAATGAAAGCTTTAGAGCTAAAAAATTGAGAAAATAGGATTTTATTGTTGTTAAGTATGACCCCTAACAGTTCACCTAATCTCTGGTTCATTTTACCTGGTAGAGTATGTTAATCTGTATGGATTTCCCTTGATTTACATGGATGCCTTCTGATGCCGAGCTTCAGCATTTACAGATAATTGTCACATAATTTGTTATTACAGCGTCAGTGGAGGTGCCGCTCTGTTCTTGTGTTAGATGGCGTGAGGTCTATTACAGGCTCAGAGAATGGGATTGTTACCCTGTTCCTCTTTTAAGTATTCTTGTGCATAATAGCTAGAAACCGGTAAGTGGCGCTCTGTTCTGCTAATTGCCCGTTAAACATTTGGCATGTTGCCAGCCTAAAGCTTTCTCAATTATGAAATGTGGTGAGGTTACAAGTTTAAGATAGTTTTAATGTATTTGCAATAAAATTTTCTAGATTTTGATTATGATAAATCACTAAAGTGAATTCAGATAAAGGAAGTCACTGTTAATCTATTGACAATTCTTTGTGATGAAATAATATATTCTGAATTTTAAATATTAATACAAGATATTTTCTGTAACTTCGATGAGACATACTGAAAACAAAGGGAGACAATAGATAAATTGTCAGTGAAAGTAGCTGCACAAAACTGGTGCCTGCTTTATTTTTCTCTCCCAAGTGCAGTGCCAGGATGGAACATTGCTCCCTTCTCTTAGGTCAGTTAGGTCAGTGGAGATCAGACATCTCTCCATACAGCTGGCAGCCAGGAGACAGCACAAAGTCGATAGTGATTCTGACAGCAGCTGCGGTAGGTGGACAGCTCCTCAGAAGCCGGAGCTGAGAAGTGAGCGTGCACACAGGAAATGGAGGTGGTTGCAGTATAGTTGCTGTGATGTAAGATTTGAAGAAGAAAATAATGCTAGCAGCAACATGGGTGTAAGAGAATAGTTGTTTTTTGAGAAAGGAGTTGTATTCATAAGAATTCTTCATTTCAAACTAAGGACCAACTATTCTTTTTAAAAAATGTCATCTTTTGTACTAATGTGTAGTTTTTTCTTTTACTATAATTGTTACATTATTTTTTTGTTTGTTCCCATAAATGGCGAATTTTGTAATAGAAAGAAGACTTCAGAAAGTGATTATCTAGGGATTTGATTTAAAGAAATATAAGTTACTTTTCAAAAAAGAGATTAGGATGGAAATAAGTGAAGAAATTTTCAATGTATTAAAAAATTTCTTCAGTAAAAATAGAATACTTTCAGTTAAGTTTTGATACTTTAGAATCAAAGAAAATTATCCTATATAATAAAGAGGTAATATGCAAATTAATGCTCACACCCTTACAAGATGGCTGCCTACAACCAGGCCAGCGAGGTGGGTTAATGAGAGACGACCAAACAACTGAGCAGCAGGCTGTGTGGGGCTACCAGGCCGGCAGGGGTCCGTGAGGGGCAACCAGGCTGGCAGGGGGGGTAGTTGGGGTGACCAGGCCAGCAGAGGAGGCAGTTGGGGGCAACCAGGCTGGCGAAGGGAGGGGTTCAGTTGGGGGTGACCAGGCCAGCAGGGGGGACAATTGGAGGTGATTAGGCTGGCGGGGGTTGGGGGTAGGGGAGTAGTGAGGGGCGACTAGGCCAGCAATGGGGGGGAAGGGTGCAGTTAGGAGCAACCAGGTTGGCAGGGGGGCAGTAAGAGGTGACCAGGCAGGCAGGCAGATGAGTGATTAGGAACCAGCAGTCCAGGATTGTGAGAGGGATGCTCCAGATTGGAGAGAATGTGGGCTGGGCTGAGGGGACTCCCCCACTCCCCGTGCATACGTTTCATGTATTGGGCCTCTAATTCTATATAATAAAAGCCTAATATGCTAAGTGTTTAACCATTCAATCAGTTGCTATGATACGCACTGACCACCAGGGGGCAGACGCTTTGACTGATAGGTTAGCTTGCTGTCAGGGTCAGGCCAATCAGGACTGGGTGAGAAGGGCCATGAGCCAACCTCCTGCGGTCCCTCCTCGGCCTCTAAAATATTTCTTCTAATTAATTTCCTTTTAGTGTGTACAAATCCGTGCACTGGGCTTTTAGTATGATAACAGATTTTTGTATTTCTCTTTAAGATGTTAATGTTATTTGCAAACAAGATTGAGTGCGTGTTTTGTGTTTTTCCAGGTCCAATGATGCACCAGCAGCCTCCTTCCCAGCAGTACAACATGCCCCAGGGCGGCGGGCAGCACTACCAGGGTCAGCAGCCGCCCATGGGGATGATGGGCCAGGTCAGCCAAGGCAATCACATGATGGGCCAGAGGCAGATGCCGCCCTACAGACCACCCCAGCAGGGTAAGAGCCCAGCGGAGGTGTCCTGCTTCAGAGAAATAACAGCGGGCGGGAGTCTCTCCATTTAATGAACTTCATCCAGGCAGAGCTAGGGCTTTATTTCCAGTCTGGAGGCCCGGTGCACGCATTCCTGCACGGGTGGGGTTCCTTGGCCTGGCTGGCGATGGGGGCCGTCTCACCCAGTCCCACTCGGGGCAGAGCAGGGCCAGCCACCCTGGGGGAGGGACTGCGGGAGGTTGGCTGTGGGAGTACATGACTACCAGGGGGCAGCTCCTACATTGAGTGTCTGCCTCCTGGTGGTCAGTGTGCATCATAGTGACTAGTCATAATGACTGCTTAGGCTTTTGAGTGTGTGTGTGTGTGTGTGTGTGTATTTTTTAAATACACTCCACTATATATTTTTTTCCTGAGAGGTAGTGGATATAGTAGGTACAAAGGGTTACAAATTGGGTAGTAACTTCCTGGTATTCAGCTTTCCTTTAATCTTTTCTGGGAAAAGATTACATCATAAAATTTTATATCAAAAGCTCATTTGCAGCAGAAAATACCATTCATTTTTGAGTATGTACTAAATATATGGTCAGAAACAAACCCTCATTTATTTTAAACTGCTCTAATATAAAAATAAAAATAAGAAGGAAATTAATTTCCTAGTAGTTTGACACTTTTTAAGAAGCTAATGTTTGTGTTTTTGAGTTGATAATTGCTTGGTACTGCATATGTGGTCTTAGCAACAGTTATTGTGAAATGTGTGTGGTGTTGGTGTGTATTGATGTACGTATGTACATGAGCATAGGGAGAAGTGCATGAACGCCGAAGCAGGGAGGGGCCTGGGCAGCAGAGAAGTGCACTCCCGTGACATCACCAGAAGCCTGTGGTGCAGAGAGCCCGTTCTGACGTCTCGCCGTTGTGGTTTTCAGGCCCGCCCCAGCAGTACTCGGGCCAGGAGGACTATTACGGGGACCAGTACAGTCACGGCGGACAGGGGCCTCCGGAAGGCATGAACCAGCAGTATTACCCTGACGGTAATCTCCCTAGCGCTCCTTCCCATGCCTGTGGCGCCCCCCTCTATTCACGCAGGCAGCTCCCAGCATGTCGTTGGGCCGAAGGAACTGCCGATAGCTGCCTCTCCGTTAGGACCCGCCGCTCAGCCCAGGGCCGGCGGCTCTCCTGTGGCAGCCCAGTGTCAGCTGTCCCGCCGGGTCCTTTCGTTTATAAAGAGGACCCTTTTATATCGGTTTCTCTGAACCAAAACTGACGTAACGATTTGCTTTCCTAAATAACGGCTTTATTGAGGTAGTTCATATACCATAAAGTGTCTGTTGGCTTACTTTTTGCATTGTATAAATGCACAGACTTCCTCAAGTTTTTTTGTTTCATCATTTTAGTTGATGCTGCATACTCTTAAAAGAACTATGGTTTGTATACAGCAGCATTTGCATTTGAGGAAAAGTTTGGAGGCTAAATTATACCCAGAATATAGTTGTATGTGGAGTTATGGAAGAGGAAAGATGTTTAGAAAACAGATTTCATTCTAGGTGTTTGGTTTAATGGCGAGGTGTTCAGTAGGAGGCTGCACTGAGGGTGGCAAGTAAAATGGCCTGACGTGGTGGCCCGCCAGCACCTGGGCCTGTCGCTGCCCACTCAGCCTGCACAGCTTCCTGCGTGTCTGGCCAGCTCGCAGTGCAGAATGAAGAGGAAGGATCCACTCACACAGCAGGCCCCTCACTGGTTCCTGAGCCACAGAGGGCTGTCTGGTGATGCAGGGACTTGCCGAAGTCCTCACTGACGTAGTCAGCTCCCGGGGTGTGTTTGAGGCCAATAGGCCAACCACTTCAGCAGAGAAACGAGGGAGCTAAGAACTGACAGCTGAAGTTTTGGAGCCGAAGTAGACGAGCAAAAAGATATCACTTGGTTATTGAAGAAGTCACTTTGCCGCCATTTTTATCTGTGTGAATCCTGAAGGCACGTCATGGCAGGACATGGGTTCTCTGGAGGCTTTGCCAGGCAGGGCAGCAGCGCTCACCTGCAGAGCTGCACACGGCACCCGTGTTAGTGGGAACGTGTGGGTGATTGTGGTTAGAACTGCCCCGAATTATTCAGTGTTGTTTTTAGTTTTATATGAAGACACTGTATTAAGTAATTTCTTAGACTATAGATGTTTTAAAAAGGTAAAATCTAGGTTCTTAAATTTTATTAGGAAATTTGCTGAATATAAATGATTGGTGTGTTTAACTTTTAAAATGTATTTTAAGTAATTGAGTTGAATTTGGGACTGTTAGTTTGGTTGGTCCTGAGTATGTTCTGAAGTGTGAAATTTGTATTGTTATAAATAGGTCCTTTCTATACAAAATGTTTTGTAAATATCAGAACTTTAAAGTTCTATTAATAATACACCCTATTTCATTGGGATTTAAAATGTTATCCGGTATCATTTTGCATAAGTGTGTGTTAATATGTTTGTCTGACATTTACGTAGATTCTTTGTTCCATTTACAATGACTTAATTCTCTTAGACATCATTGGATATTTTCTTACTCTGTTTATTTTTTATTTTTTAAAAATATTTTTATTGATTTCAGAGAGGAAGGGAGAAGGAGAGATAGAAATATCAATGATGAGAGAAAATCATTGGTAGGCTGCCTCCTGCACACCCCACACTGGGGAAAGAGCCTGCAACCCCGGCCTGTGCCCAGGCCAGGAAATGAACGGTGACCTCCTGATTCATAGGTTGATGCCTGTCCACTGAGCCACCCCAGCCGGCTCTGCCTCTGTTTGGATATTTATGCAGTAAACATGAGAGTGGGAGCTGGCATACTTTTCCTCTAAAGAGCGGAGAGAAAACCTTTCCATCTTTGTGTGCCACGGGCTATTGATCTCAGCCACTGGACTCGTGTCACAGCATGAAAACAGCTCTAACTGTAAGCAGGCAGGCGGGCTCAGACTGCAGGCCGGTTCACTGACCCTCCATCCAGATATCGGTGAGATGGTGTAGGAACATGGCTACTGGAGCCCCGAGTACGGCACTTACTCATAACTGTGCTCCTCCTTCCTGAGTTAGGGGCCCACTGAATTGTATAATAGCTCAGACCTTCGCCAGCTGAAAGGTTAGTCCTACATTTCTTTGTGCAATTTAATTCAAAGGCCTAGAGGATCGATTTCATTAAACTCTAGTCATCTTCAGGCGAAATTTATCATGCCTTAACAGTAAAGGTGTACTCTGCTTGGTACAATATTAACTTCATGAAGGTGAATGCTTATGTTACCCTGGAAACATTATCTGTGGGCCTCTAGAATGGCAGCAGTAAGCATTATATTTCATATCTAGAAATACTTTGAGATACTATGTTTTATTCAAGTAAATAGAGTGTGAAAAATTTATCTCAGTTTTTTTCAAGGGAAATTTAGTTCTTTTGTATTTCACAGTTTTTAGCGTATGCTGTGGCATTGGCACCCAGAACTGGTGTTTGACACAGTACGATAATTGTTTCCTTTGTTTATTGGAATTTAATTCAAGTTATTTAAAAAAAAAGAAAGATAAAAGTTTTTTCTCTCCTTAATGAGGATTATCAGAGTTAAGACTAAGGGTAATGTTTTTAAAACTACTGTTTTTTGCTTTTAAGAAAATTTGCAAGTTGTCTTGATATGAAAACAATCACATTGGTAAATATTTGGCTAATGCAATTGAAATTATTTTTTATGTATTTCCATTTCTTTTTTTCCAGTTTTATCTGCAAGTTTAAATATATTTAGGGTTTTCACTCAGTGGCCATTAACGTTTCTCCCTGTCTCTTGTCGAATTGATGTAGGTCATAATGAGCACGGTTATCAGCAACCGTCGTATCCTGAGCAAGGCTACGATAGGCCTTACGAGGATTCCTCACAACATTACTACGAAGGAGGTATCGCCATACCTTCACACGCATACACACGCCCCCAAAGGCGCCCGGCCGGCCAGGCCTTCCCCGGGCCCGGCTCTGGAGAGCGTAGCTGCTGGCTGTCTCATGACAGGGAGCCGGACAGCACAATCGCTTCCGTACAGACATTTACAACCTGTAACCATGACCTGCCCTTTCTAACAACAGTGAAAAGACTAAAACATTTACCGACAATTGCTTCCCCCGCGGATGTTTTCTGTCGGAACACAAACCCAGCTCCAGTGTCGTGTGTGTCCCTGTGTATGGTCTCACCACAGTGTAGTGCCTTAGGCAGCAGCTTGCTGACCGTGTGTAGCTAGCGTGTGCTCTCGTAGTGTCTTTAATTTTGTCTTTTTATTTCATTTAGCGTAGTCATGCTCTCTGACTGACGTTCCAGTCAGTGTAATGCTCGTATGCAGAGGCGCTGGGAATGCTGCAGTTGAACCTTGCAAATTGGCTTTAACTGCAGTGTGTTTGGCCGAAACCCTTCTGTTTGGTTTGAGTTTTTTCTTTGTTTTGTTAACTTTAAAAAATCAGTATGGCATTTTATTTCGTTCTTGTGTTGTTGGCTCTGCAGCTTAGAGGAAAGTTCCTTGAGCACACTCTCAGTCCCCTTCTCCCGCCCGCAGGAAGCTCCCAGTACAGCCAGCAGCAGGAGGCCTACCAGGGCCCGCCGCCCCCGCAGGGCTACGCGCCCCCGCAGCAGCAGTACGCGGGCCAGCAGGGCTACGCCGGCCAGCAGCAGGCCTACGGTGAGCGCCCTGCGTCCTCTGAAAGTCACTTCTGCCTCCGTCCGTCAGTGTCTAGACCAAGTGTTCCTAGACAGACTACAATCTACTTAGAAAGAAACGGAGACGAGGGAGGGCTCAGTTAGCACAGGGGTGCCTGGAGTCACGCACAGGGCAGGCCAGGAACCCGGGACCTCTGTGCTCACAGCCATGCTGGCTCTGCCTGTGCCTAGACCCTGAGGGAGCGGCTGTTCGCCGCCCTCGTCCACATGGTCCAGTGAGCAGCTTGGTTTCCACCACTGGCGACTGTTGGAACTGTTCCTAGTTTTCTGAGGAACCGCCGGACTGCCTTCCGTGGTGCTGCGCAGTCTGGTTCCCAGGGCGGTGAGCGAGGCCTCTCTCTGCACCTCCCCCCCGGCTGCGCTGGCCTTGTGAGAACAGCCCCTCCACAGGCACCGGCGGTGTCTCACTGAAGCTCCGACTTGCAGATATAAACCTCCATTTCACATGTCAGGTCATTCCTTCGGCTCTGCTGGCTGTGGCAGGCACGCCAGCGCTCTACAGCTGCAGACACATTGATCCCAGACGGTTCAGAAATGGGTCCCGTATTTTAGTTCGAACCTGCTTCTCGCCTTTTCTCCCACCTCTTGCTTACACTGGTCACTTCCTCATAAAACAGGTGCTTTTCTGAGCACAGACAGATGACTGCCCTTAGCGTGGAGTGAGCCTGCCTTCCCCTCCTGGATCTGACTCATTTGACATACACGTTTGGAATGGCTACTGCAGAACACAATGGTTACACCAAATCAAAGCACCTGGTTCCGAGTGGTGTCCTTGAGTAACCTCCACTCTTATTATGACCTTTGGAATCTATTTCAAAAAGCATTTGAGAAAAATCAAGATTCCAAACCACCCTTTTTAGCTTAGATATAAAATACCTCGTTCCAAACGCTTCTGGAGTTGTGGGGAGAGATGTTTGCCTGGGCTCTTGTTCATGCCGATTACTTTGCAGGTCCTTCCCAGGGTGGGCCCGGCCCTCAGTATCCGAACTACCCCCAGGGCCAAGGGCAGCAGTACGGGGGGTACAGGCCGACGCAGCCCGGACCACCGCAGCCCCCGCAGCAGAGGCCTTACGGATACGACCAGGTGGGTACTGACTGACCAGAGTGTGGCCGCTGCAGTGGTTAGGTTAATTGATTAGGTTAAACATTTTACTGGAAGCTCATTTTTCCTTCTGTTCATAGTACATGAGTTGACCAACAAAACCCTACTTTCTTTTAATTCTGTTTCATGGACTGCTAACAGTGGGTGGGAATACTGTTGACATGGAAGAGTCTTGTCTAGGCACAGCTTTTGTTCATATCCTCCTCCCCCTCCGGTACTCACCGCATTCTCCCCACCACACGTCCTTGCTGTCCATGGTCTCCCTTCGTAAGTTCCTGTGTGTTCCCGCCTCTGCCTCCGTCCGGCGCGTGTCCATGGCCTCAGGCTCGGGCCTTTCTTCCCGGTGCCTTTCCTCCTTCCGTCAAGCTGGAGGTGGCGTGCTCTCACCTGGCAGCGGCTCCCCGAACCCGGCGTCTGTGTAGGTCCCTCTTCGCAGCAGTGCTGCTCAGCTCCACTGTGCGTCTTAGGCGGTGAGTCTGCTCATACAGAGGAGTCACAGCAGCGAGGACTGGCCGGGCTGCCGCTTCTGCAGGTGCGTTTCAGGCCCGGCACGGAGCTCCCCGCAGCAGGCGGTGCTGCAGGGCCCGCTGCGCTTGAGGAGCAGTTCGTACGGCGCTCCGGGCAATGCCGGTGCGAGCCTTCCCACCCGGCTGCTCAGGCCTCAGCCCGTGTGCCGGCACTTGCACTGATGTGAGAGAGAGGGAACAGGCCCGAGAGGCTGGCACTCAGGGCCAGGGCAGAGGCTGGCACTGAGGAGAGGACACTAGATTCACTCTTCTCACGATGAGCGTTGAGTGACTGTTGCTGAGCATAACCGTGTAAAGTACGTTAGTGACTTTTAAGCACTTTAATTCTGTTCATAGTGCAGTAATCCATTAGCTATCTCGTGGCACTGAACAGCTTTCCAAGGAATTCCACTTCTGAGGAACGTAAACTTGAGGTACGAGGTCCTGTGGGGCGCAGGCATTTCAACTCCAGAATACTTGGCTGGTTTAAGTAGTTCCTGGGACTTGGAGGGATCTGAGCAGGAGAAGCAATCAGCTGGTGATGTCCTTGCCAGTGAGTCTGTTTTTGGAAAACAGGTGCTTTTATGAGCACTTTAAACCATCTTAAGAAGTCTTTGTTGAAATACTAGTACATACTTCCTACTATGTTTCTCTTTCCTTTTACCTTTTTCTTTTGTTTTACTTTCTTTTGAAAATCTAAACTTAGAAGTTGTATCCTGGACTCACCTGCCTGCACGGTGGGATTTGGCTGCATCCCCTCCTGCTGAGTATCTGTGCGCGCTCTCGCCTCTCAGCCAGCTGGCTTCCGAGTGCACTTTGCTAAACACAACAACACAAATCAAACTTTTTTGGATCTAAAAAAATAAATTTTTATTGTTCAGATTATTACAATTGTTCTTTTTTCCCTCCATAGCTCCCCTCCATCCAGTTCCCACCACACCCCACTGTCCTTATCCATAGGTATACGATTTTTTGTCCAGTCTCTTCCCGCACCCCCATCCCCCTTTCCCCTCAAGAATTGTCAGTCTGCTCCCTTTCTATGCCCCTGATTCTGTTATATTCACCAGTTTATTCTGTTCATCAGGTTTTTTATTTATTTATTTGATTTTTAGATTCACTTGTTGATAGATATGTATTTGTTCATAATTTTTATCTTTACATTTTTCTTCTTCCTCTTCTTAAAGAATGCCTTTCAGCATTTCATATAATACTGGTTTGGCGGGGATGAACTCCTTTAGCTTTTTCTTATCTGTGAAGCTCTTTATCTGACAAATATTCAGCAGGAGGGGATGCAGCCAAATCCCACCGTGCAGGCAGATGAGTCCGGGATTCAACTGATAAGTTCAGGTTTTTAAAGAGAAAGAAAAACAGAAGAAAAAAGGTAAAAGAAAAGAGAAACATACTAGAAAGAATATAGTAGTATTTCAATTCTTAATGATAGCTTTGCTAGGTAGAGTAATCTTAGTTATAGGTTCTTGCTATTCATCACTTTGAATATTTCTTGCCAATAGTTTCTGTTGAGAAATCAGCTGACAATCGTATGGCTGCTCCCTTGTAGGTAATTAACTGTTGTTTTCTTGCTGCTTTTAATATTTTCTCTTTGTCTTTTGCTCTTGGCATTTTAATTAAGATGTGTCTTGGTGTGGTCCTCTTTGGACTTCTTTTGTTTGGGGTTCTCTGCACTTCCTGGACTTGTAAGTCTATTTCTTTCACCAGGTGGGGGAAATTTTTGGTCATTATTTCTTCAAATAGGTTTTCAGTATCTTACTCTCTCTCTTCTTCTGGCACCCCCATAATTCTGATGTTGGTACGCTTGAAGTTGTCCCAGAGGCTCCTTACACTATCTTCATATTTTTGGATTCTTTTTTCTTTTCTGGTTGGGTGTTTTTTGCTGCTTTGTATTTCAAATCCTTGACTTGATTCTTGCGATCCTATAGTCTATTGTTAGATCTCTGTATAATATTTTTTATTTCAATCAGTGTATGTTTAATTTCTAGTTGGTCCTTTTTCATAACCTTGAGGGTCTCACTAAATTTATCTGCCTTTTCTAGAAAATTCTTGAAAAACCTTATAACCATGATTTTGAACTCTATATCCAGTAGTTTGCTTTCCTCCATTTCTTTCATTTGTGATCTGTTTCTTTGTCCCTGTATTTTGCCTGCTTTCCTGAGTTGACAGAGTGGCGTTGTGTGCTAGGTGTCCTATAGGACCTAGTGGCTCAGCCTCCCCAGTTACCTGAGATGGACACTCTTGGTGCACCCCTTTGTGGGCTGTGTGCACAATCTTATTGTAGTTAAGCTTGATTGTTGTTGGTATCACGGAGAGGAATTGACCTCCAGGACAATTGGCTATGAGGGTCAGCTGTGTCTACAATGGGAGAACTTCTGTGCTGGAGACACCCTTATGAGGCAAAACTTTATTTAGTGGGGCTTTGGTGTTCACTGAGTCTGCCTCTGAGTGTGTCCCTTATGGATCTGAGGAGTTGTAATCTGGATGGTTCTACTCTGACCCCTGGGTACATTGGCTCTTGGGTCTCCAAGGAGGTGCTAAGTTAGCCTCTGCCTGAGGCCACCCAGCAGGAGCTACAGAGTTCTGCAGATTCCTCCTCTTTGTTTGGGGTCTGGAGGTGCCCAGATGAGGCCCAGCTGTGAAGCAGTGCAGGCTGCTGTGGGGCCATGGGCCTTCTTTTGGATGTTCTGGGTCTCACTGACTCAGCTGCAGTTTGTTAGGTAAGTTTATATTTCAAAGTACCAGGCCATTCATATGAAAAAGCCTCTGCGCACAGCTTGGATGGGGCGGAGTCTCAGGGCGGAGCAAACAGCAATGGCTTCCCGTCAGTCCTGCCCTAAGAGGCCCCTGGGTCTCTGTCCCTCGGTAATCGGTAAACACTGCAAGCACCTTTAAGAGAAAGCCACCCTCGTGTTCTGCCAGAAGCCAGACAGTCCAGTTTCTCCCCGTATGAGTCTGGTTCCCCAGAGTCTCACCCAGAACTGGAGTTCAGAGCAGGTGGGAGCTTGTGTCTCCCTCCGGATTGGAAAAGCCAGCTGCGTACTCCATTGCCAGCCCTTTCTGTGTGCCTCCGTACCTCTGCACTTTACTTTTGAAGCTCCTCTGAGTCTGTGTGCTTTTTTCTTCCCTTCTAGTTGTAGAATTTCCACTCAGCCAGCCTTCCTGTGGTTCTGGATAATGCTTTTTTGTCTTTTAGTTGTGGTTTTGAAGTTGTTGTGTGAGGCAGCAGTTCAGGTGTTAACCTGTGCCGCCATCTTAGTTTCTCTCCTTGCCTGCATCTTATGTACCAGCTGCCTCTCTGAAGTGCTTGGCCTCGTAGGAAGACCCGTGTCTTTAGAAAGATCTTTTTCCTTTCCCTCCAGATCTCTCTTCATCCTTGCACTTATCCCAGATATCTTCGATGTTAATTCATAACAGTAATGATAATAAGCTAAATAGTGACACTAGCATCACATTTACATACTCAAATATATCACAGCGGAATTTAGAGCCAGAACTTGTTGTCCAAATCAGTCCTACAGGTCTCACCAGACATTGAAACTTCCACTGTGTGATAGATACTGTTCTATGTACAGAGGCTCTGAAATTCACTTGCAAGTGAATGTAATGTCCGAAGAAATTACAGAGGTCTATGTACCTAAATACTAGCAATTTTTGTTACGAATGCAGTAGCTTTCATAGCATGGCAATGCTAAGATTTATTTGTGATTTTCTTGCCGAAGTATTACCTTATTGTATTTTACAATTCATCTTTTAGGGGCAGTATGGGAATTATCAGCAGTGAAGGCTCACACATGCCAGTGGCCACACCTGCCGGCAGCCGCACCGCGTGGCCCCTCCGGGAAGAGACCCTTCATTCCACCGTTTTTGGAGAAGCCTTGGGCTCGGGCTGCTCTTCAGCCAGCAGCCTTGCGGCTTAGTTGTGTAAAAGGCCTTAGTAGCTCAAAAATACTCTTTAATCTCCCATTTCTACTCTAGATGGCAACATTGGACAGAAAATAGGCCGCAACCCACGTGCAGTGGTTTCGGGACTGTCTCAAACGGACTGTTACAGGCTGGACGGTGCGGGCAGCTTTGTATGTTCTGCAGGTTAAGGGAATTTAATACTTTTCCACAGATTCTTTTGTAAGGGGGGAGAGGGAAATGTACACTTTTTACAGTTAGCACTATTTTGTATATTATGTTTATTCCATGTGGTGAATGTGCCGAACGTACACTGTGTGTGGGACAGAGTCAGCCGTCCTGTCAGCGAGGGCTGGGCGTGCGGGCGCCTCACTGTGTTGGTCTTTGGTGAGGCTGCGGGTCCGGTGGGGAAGCTGCCTGCCGTGTGGTGCTCAGAGGAAGTCAGCTCCCTCACCTGACAGCTAATCAGGGGCACTGGGGTGCCGTTTGGGGTAAAAAAACTTTTTTTAAAGCTTTCCAGTTTTGTGGATTAAAATTTTTTATAACGATCACTTATAATACAGTTTTAAAATGTGAGGTAATAAGAATTACTTCACATTGGATCTGAAGAATCTTGGTAAAGGGTTCAAGTAAATGAAATGGTAATCCTCTCCTAAAATAGCAGGAAGTGGAAGTGTTAATTTACCTTGTTAATCAGGGGAGTTAGTAATAGCAAAGCATTTTATACGCTATCAAGAAAAGGCCAACATTGATTCGGTCATTTTAACATCAGGTTAGATGGTTTATATACTAGGATAGTTCAAGAGACTTACAAACCTTTATTTCAACGTTCTTAACTGGAAATAATATACATTTGTAAAGGGACATGAGTTTTTCCCTTCTCATGTTGGTGAATATAACACAGAGATGTTTAGGAAAACGCTGTTGATGAGGCTTGCAGGACTGAATTGGAAGGATGGAGTGCGGCTGGGTCACTGTGCTCACTCGCAGGGCCTAGCCACCATGTGAGACGCTGTGCCTGGTCGTTCAGCTCAGTGCAGGGACAGTGCCCGAGGCAGGAGGCCTGCATGGAGGGCTCCAAGCACAGCCACTCCGGCAGGTCTGAACGCATCCAGCCCAGAGGTAAGTGCTGTGTCCATCACGGCTGCCCAGGCCCGGGGACAAGGCGTGCTCTTTGTCATTGACTGGGCTTCCCGCTGCCCCAGAAAGGCAGCGGAGGGCGTGCGTCCACCTGAGGGAGGCAGAGCCCGGGCCCAGCGCACTGTCGTCGGAGAAGGACCTCCGTGTCTGTGTGAGGAGGCGAGGGCCGAGGTCAGAGCAGGTCTCCTCAGCGCGGTCAGCAGCAAGTGGACATGGAGTCTGAGCGACAGCGCGGACGGCCTGGCGGGGGGCATGCTGGCGGTTCTGTGCCAATTCCCACCACTGTGTACTCGGTTGCTATTTAAAACTGTACCAGCTCTAACGGAGGAATAAATTATTTGTGATTTTAATTTTCTCATTTGTTTCTTTAAATTAGATCTCTCTGACTGTGGTTTTGTCTGGAGACTCTGCTGTGGGTATTTTACAGAAGTGCGTCCAGTATAGCAGACTGGATTTGTATTCTAGGACTTGATCAAAATTCTCTTGCCATGCCCAAGTTAATTAGAATTAACTGTTCAGTAATCAGCATGTTGTGTGGGCTGTTTGTTACAGAATTCTCTCTCTGAAAATGAAGTCCATGCGGCTATCATCAGGATGACTGAATGAGATAAATGAGTGAGGAGGCAGAATTGTACTCACCCAACCTGGTGTTAGATACGTTATCTCATTTGAAGCAAGCTCAACTGACATTAAGAAATAATTTGTCTTGCCAGCCCATCTTCTGTTGTCTTATTCTCCTTTTAATGGAAACTAAAATTGCAATTTTAATAAGCAGAATTTCCTCCAGGACTCTCTTCCTGGAGACTAGTGCATTTGCAAGCTTTAATTGTTTTATAACAGTCTTATTTCGTAGAAGTTTTTAATTGGCGGTGACAAGAATTACCTTACTCCTTGGGTGCCGGGTAGGAAGCTGTACCAGTAGCTTTCTATGCACTTGACATTCCCGGATAGACAGTGCATCCTAAAACTGCAATTTGTATTTTATCAAAATGTGCGTTATTATAATGAAGGGATTATTAAAACAGCCCATAAAATTCCAGAAGCAAAATACCACTAAGAAATGCAGGGTGATTATTGATCGCCATTTAAAAATACTTCACTGTGTCAGTGTCTTTGCTTGAGAATACGTTAGTATTTTGTAGAGCTGTGGTGACACATCGGTGGTGGTTTTTTTAAAAAATTTTTAATGGGAGTTTCAAAGAAAAAGCTAGGTGGAGGGGATGGTAGAATGAGCCCAAGTACCAGTAACCTGACTTTCCACTTAGCAACTGCTGGCCAGTCTTGCATTGCCTCTGCTCACCCACCGACTGAAGAACACACCCTGTCCTTTGTTATTCCTTTAGGCATCTTTAAAAGATAAGACTCTTAAAAAACACCGTGGCTCTTACAGACTCTTCCTGTTTCTGAAATTTTGTATTTTCAGTGTTAACATTGCGTTCGAAACAATCTCGGAAATTGTATGAATCAATGTCTTTCAACTTATTCATGGTAAATAGGACATTAGCGAAATAGATTATTCAGAAGGTGAACCTTCTTCCATCATTTCATATCTCAAAGGTAACAATTATTAAAGGCTTGATAGGTTTCTTCCAATTTCATTTTACACATAAAAGCCAACATATATTGTCTTTTAAAATAAAAATAGAATTATATTACCCATACTACTTTGCAACTTCCTTTTTTTAAAGTTAGAAATATCTTAAATGTTCTTTATTCCTAAATTATTGTTCCTATTTTTTTTTACTGCTGCAAAAACAACACTCCCTGAAGCTACCTGGCTAGGGCTTATTTTTATCACTTATTTTGGTGTGCTTGTTGCAGTATTTCTATATGATGCGTTTCTGTTATGTTAGGAGTAGTACTATGTACATTTTTAAGTTTCCCTCTAAAAGATACATCCTTGCTAACACCTTATTATTCTGTTATTTTTTTCAATTCTTATAGGCTTTAAAAAACGCTATTTCAGAATTTCATTTGGTTTATTTGTAAGTTTGAGCATCTTTTCAAATGCTAAATGACACTTCATTATTTTTTGCCCTGAAATACATTCTGTTTTTCTATTGGAATGTTTATTGTCTCAGAGAGGAGAGACAGTGTAAGCACACACACACACACACACACACACACAGAGTTGTATGTGGTTTTTTCTATATGCACAGCAGTTCCTATCTCTTCTGGGTATTGCATATGTCTTCAGTCTGTTCATTATTTTTAACTTCGGCTGAGATGTTTATCACTGTGTTAAAGTTTTAAGATTTTATGTAGTCAATTTCTTGTTGCAGCCTCCCTAGTTTTACATGTGTAAAAATATTTTCATATTTGCTTATATTTTTAAAAAAAATTCATTGTACCTGGTATGGTTTAGAGCACTAACTTTTCCCCTAAATGGATAGAATAGTTTCATAGCATTTATTGAATAAAGCAAGGATTAGAATGCCACCTTATTTATTTAAAACATCAGTTCCAGTGAAGGCCTGACAGCCGTTCTAAAGACTAGCTGGACCCATTTAAGTAGAACTTCATCTGATTGGCACAAAGGTGTGTTCCCCTCCCAAACAAGGTGTTTTTTATTAGATAAGAGCTAATTGCAAAAAGTCTGAACGACGACCGGCTTCCTAACAGAGAAGGGCTGAAACGTAATTTAATGTAGCACGCCCAGAACATCCTGGTACTCGTTGTTTGTTGAAGATGTCGAGCCTCCTTCTCCCCTCCCCCCTCAGCTGGACGGGAGGACCAGCCTGTGGGCTCGGGTGTTATAGTAACAAAGCCTGCGCTGGGGGGCCCGGCCACCGCCCAGGACATGCTGTACATGGGGTTCCCCTGCCCGGATATACTTTACATGGGGTCCCTGGGACTTGCTGTCCACACCCTGCTGTCCACACTCACCCTGCTGTCCACACTCACCCTGCTGTCCACACTCACCCCGCTGTCCACACCCTGCTGTCCACACTCACCCCGCTGTCCACGGAGCCCCGCTCTCCATGGAGCCTCGCCCTCCACACTCCCAGCTGTCCATGGAGCCCGGCTGTCCACACTCACCCCCCTGTCCACAGAAGTCCAGTGGCTTCCTTTCCTCCCCAGGACCTCGCTTCCCGGCCAGCATGCGTCCTCCCAGCCCCACGTGGCCGCCATCCTCCCGCATGGACAGCGTTTTGGAAACACGCACGGATGTCCATTACCCGGCACCCAAGGGTGACCCTCTAAACCAGCAGGCGTCCCCTCACTCAGGCTCCCGGCCACTCTGAGCACCATGCATCCTCCAAACCCCCCAAAAGCATGGGGAGTATAGTCCTGAATTCCAGGAGAAGGAATTCCAAGCTGCACATCAATGTCACTTCGCTCTCGGTTCTTGAAGGGAAGCCTACCTGTGATTGAATGGCTTTGGCCATAATTTGTCTGTTGGAAGAGAACAGTCTATGTGGAATCATTTGTATCACGGAAAATGTATCTTTTTTACTTAAAATTTTCTTGGGAAATAGAAAAGGGGCAAGGAGGTGGGTCATGTAAGACCAGAAAGGATGTATGGTCTGTGTGTTTTTGTTTTGGTGTATGTGTGTGTGTGTGCGTGCGCGCGTGCATCCCATGGAGACTTCGGCCAAGAAGGCATCTCACGCTTGGATGTGCCCTCTCCGCACACATGCTGCTGCTCCAGATAGCAGACGTGGGCCGAGCCGCAGGCACCGCCTCGAACACCTGAGCGTCTCTGGGACAAAGGAGCCAACATGTAAACGGGGGCGGGGC